GCCCACTATTTCATTCTTCATTTCCCTTAAACAGACTCAAGGGACTGTTTCATTAGCTTTGTCGGGAAGACTTTTAATGGAATTTACTCATAGATATTAAGATGTACCGCAAGGTATCATATTGGACCCCTTTTTGTTTATTTGGTACAGAAATGATCTTTAAGCTTGTGGGATTAAGATTCATACTCACACGTAATGTCAAACGTATTTTTCTTTAATAATGTATATCATAACGCGATTACTTCAATACTTGTATTGCCCTAGATAAAAGGGAATGCGTTTAGTTGAAACATAATAACATTACGAGAGCTACGCTCTAGTTTATTATGGTCAGAGATCGTTTCATTCATGCAGTGTTCTCGTTGTATGAACTAGTTCTATGACCTAAATACTGACGTGGTAAATGTATTAACATGATACTGTGTGACCTTATTTGTACAGCTACACGAAAAGTTGGAATTACCAATGGTAGTCGGGTAGTGTTTACTTTGTAGTTCAGAGTAACGCGGGAGTGACATGCAGGAATCATAATTGCCATGAGGATGATTCGGCGTCAGAGATACCATGTTAGTTGGTTAAACCTGGGAGATTCCGAGATTTTCATGTGTATGGTTTATCTGTATCGGTGCAGACGGTATAACCGCCCTTCGGCGAAACACACAAGCTTCTGTATCTGTATCACCGGTATAATCGCCCTTCAGCGTAATACACCAGCTTCGCAGGCACGCGGCGCGGCGCGGCTGCAGCTAGTATACACCGAACGACTTGTTACACTCGATCTTTGCACATTGCACATTTAATTGCAGGAGTTGTTTGAAGTTTTTAGTGATGATGTCCCAACTCCACTGTACGATAGTTCTTGGAAATTACGAGTTTCTGAACACGTCAACTCTTGGTTGGTAAGGCATGACTGTTTCTTGTTCTTTTCTGGGCTGGTATTAGATACTTAGTGGTTGGTACATCCACCAGTTTATTAGTCAGATGATGATTTTATGATGTCGTAACTGTAATTACGTGCCCAAACTCAAATGAATCTGACCGGCAACCAGCTGTAACCACCCAACATGGCGTACAATGGTTAATTCCTAGTCACGTGGGTGCAAACATTTCTTATGGATAGCCAGTGGGTAAAAGCACTACCTATCTATTTCTTGCAGTCTTGTAGTAAAGTACCTTCACACCTTACATAACAGTGGCATCAACTGCTGTTCATATACAAACGATTGAATGAGTGTTAATTGTATGCGTAACGTTGACACTTTTGACATATTTTCGCAGTTAAGGGTCAGTTCATATTCCTCGTAGGACCATCGTACGAAGGCAATCTTAAGACATTCTTGAGACAGTCGCGGTTGTGTAGTACTAAATTGAGCTGTCTTGTAACGGACCAGACTGTCTTTAAGATCCTTGTCGGTGGTTGGTTCTGTCTCAGCCTGCTTGAAAATTCTACGACATGCATCAAACTCGTACGACGACCTACATGTACGAATCTATCAAAACCGCACTGTAAGCTCGCGGGCATCATACAGGTCATAAACATCGCCATATTCACCCACACTTTAAGAGGGGCGCCGGCAGAACGAGCGATCTCAGCGGCTCAACATCCACAACGTGCCCTGCTTGGCAATCGGGTCGAATTCATTTACTTGAGACCGCAGGCGGATATTGTCTCATCGTAAGGATCCCACCTCGCCCCCGAAAGTTGCGTCTCACAGTTGTAGTCATGATGTAGGGATCGTGGATCACTGCTTTTCCTGACATTTGCCCTTCCAGGCGCCCCGAGTTAAAATTGCCGGTGTGATGTCTACCGGTGCCATCGATCGCTGGACAGATTGGAGATTCGGCACGTCGGAAATAACTGATCGTTTAGAAACAATTTCAATTCAATTTATTTACTTAACCAGTAATTACAGCTCAGGCCATTTTAATTTTAATTTTACTTGGCCTGCTTTTCAGGTAATCCTGGATACACATAAAAATACACACAACAAATACACAGTACATAAACAACTACTAAATACAACATCCTAAACATCAACTGGATCAAGTCCTGCTCCTAATGATCTGTTTAAAAGTCCTGAGACTAAGGAGATGTCGTTGCTGTAGCGGAAAAGTGTTCCACAGGTAAGCTCCATAATACTGTAGACTGCTCCGGTATGCTGTGACTCTTACTGATAGCTAATAAAGAAACTACCTGACGGCGATTTTATATATCGATATCTCGGGACGGAATTGCCAGAGATTACGAAATAATATGGTGATAAAACGTAACGCGGCAAACTGGCACGGACAGTGACCTTATAGCAGAGGAACGAATAGCTGTTAAAATGTAAACGTAAAGGGTGACTGACGTAAGCGTAGGACTCAGTTTTCCTTTCTTCTTTCAATTTCATTTTTTTTTTAATAAAAAGGCTCAAAAGCTGAGTGTGAAAATGACACGGCCATACGTGTGATAAAAGTTAACTGTGCTATCGGGGGTTTAAAGCTGTTTTTTTATGAAACTTAATCCAATCAACACAAATGAACCGGGACGGCGGCAGATATCGACTTCCGGGCACCTTTGACCCACCCGTGACGTCACACATCCTAAGATCGATGCGCGTCTGGTAAGTAGGTCAAATTACTGATGAAGGTCGATTGTATTGGAACCCTTCTACTTTCCATTATGGGACATTATGGTTAACACAACTGAAAAGTTCGGTGTCCTTGAAAAAGTTAAGACGTCCAAAATGTCGTCCCCAACCCTTTTGAAATGTGAATCCTGCACAGAATGTCAATCCGTTGTTACAAGGTTGGTAACTTACTACACAAGTCGCTAGATGTCGCTCGTGCGCGGTACTTCAACCTTCAACTCCAGGGGTTACGATGCAGCAGATCAACAGATCAACTCTCGTCTTGGACTGATCTCTGCCTCTTCATCATACAGCCATGTAACTACTTTTACTATAACGACAATGAATTTTGGTAAGGGGGCCTTGTAAGAGGGTCTGCATGCACTTTTTCGTTAACCGTTATGGGCTGTTTTAATTTACCGTTAATCGTTGCCGGCCAGCTCTAATTCAACGTTAAGCGTTATCAGTATATTCCTCGTGAAGCGTTATGGGTCGTTTTAATTCAACGTAAAACGTTATTTGTCATTCTAAATTCAACGTTAAGCGTTAATGAATAATTCTTCGTTACGCCTAATTTTGCCTTTCAACGTGCAGGAAAATGCGTCATTGAAGGTTTAAAAATACAAAATTTCCCGGGGGAAAATGCCCCCGGACCCCCTCTACATTGCTCGCGCCTTTGGCGCTCGACTCGCGCTTCTGCGCTCGGTCCCTTCGGCTCTAGCCAGAACCAGTTTTCCCTCCAATTTCCGGAAGTTTGCGGAGAGTTACAGATTTTTTTTAACGAATCCGTCAACCTTGACAGGCAAATTAACAAAAATCTTGAGTAAAATATGAAAACATCAGAAGGACCGACAAACACTCTCAACACCATGATTTGCCTCTCAAAATGCGGGAAATTGCGTTTTTGAAGGCTTAAAAACCCTAAATTTCCCGGGGGAGCATTCCCCCGAACCCCCCCCCCCCTAGATTACGAGCGCCTTCGGCGCTCCCCTCAAAATCCGTCGGTAAAACTGGGCAGATTGAAAAAATGCAAGCTGGCCGACGTCGACTCGGACACCCCGGTATTTGTGGACGCACTCGGGGATCAGGGCAAGTGGGAAACACAGGGAACACATACCTTTAAGGCATGCTTCATTACATGTAAGGTATACGTAATTTTGTCAGTGATCACCTTTTCTCATAAAGCGAGATACCAAATCCAGTGCAGTTCGAAAAAAAGCCTGTCAATTTACCGTTAAGCGTTGCCGACCGTCCTGAATTTACCGTTAAGCGTTATGGGCCCTGCTGAATTTACCGTTAACCGTTGCCAGGACCCCCCCCCCCCCCATGCAGACCCTCTTGTAAGGGTCTCAAAGTATTTATTTCAAAGCGTTCTATAAATATTGTTAGTATGCACGTGGTTTAGACAGAAGTATTCAAAGCAGAATTATTATTACATGATATAACACATACCTTGAGTTGATGATCATCTGTGACCGCCACGTTTTGGACCGGGTCTAAACGGAATCACCCAAGGCGGTTTACATGTGGTTTACCCCGAAGCCGGTTTCAAGTGGCTCCATCTGAACGCTCCGAAATCACATTGAAAGCGCCTCGATCCCAAGCCACTTCTAGAGGTGGCTTCGAATCGGTTTCCCCGCATGGCGATTTGCGTCTGAACGCAATGTGATTTCAATGTGACTTCGCCTGGTCATGGATTACGGATCTATTTCTTTTTTTATATGCAATACCAACTTTTACGTGGCAGCAACTTAAAGAGCAGTAATGGTCAAATAATGTTCTACGGCGAGCTTCACCGCCTCTGGCTGGACCGCGTCGGCATTCGGCCGAGATACGCTGGGAGGGGGGCATCAGCAAGCAGGTCGTTGACCTCTGACATTAATAACACGCCGCCTTGCGTGTTATCATCAAACAGCAATAAATGTAGCTCAAGCGCATTATGTTCGGACACGGTTTCGCAGGTGTGTGTGGCACGTGGACCAGATGTGAGAAATGTGAGTTACCCGAATCGCGGTTTGGGTGATTCCGTATAGACACGGCCCAAGGAAGTTTTGCATTCTGCAGACTTTAAGCAGGTGATAGACCAGGTGTTAGAAGCCGTGGATGAAGCTTCCTTCCTGTGTATCGATGGCGTATTTATTTACTTGAGACCACTGGCGCAACGATAAGATCGCATTAAAGCTACAGGCGCATGTGCCCGTGTAAACCATTAACAGTCTGTCCCCTTATACAAATTTACGCTTCATCAAGTTGTTTGCCATCAGTCAAAGGAAAGGTACTGACCACTGACTGATATTTGTTTATGATAAGATGTCGTAAAAGAAGGTCTTGACCTTCTACAAAGTCAAGGTAAATGTACACAATGCATCCGTCCACCAAAGATACTTGACGGGTTAAAGTATTTATTGATAGGGTATATTGACTTTCCCAGCGTCTCAAGCTTCGCCAAATGCTGAGTCGGACATACATGTATATATCACGTGCTCTCTGTACATATGGCATGCAGTTGGCAAACTAATTAATATAATTAGAACTTGTCAACATAAGGCCACACCGACATATACAGAGTAACTTTGTAGTTAAATGAATGAATAGTTTATCATTAATTGTCTCTGCATTACAATAAAAAGGATGGTGTCGGCAGTTCCTTATCTGTTAAAGTGCTTGATATGAAACTGCGGCTTCTGATAATGAACACATTTCGTACACTCTACAGAAGTTTCTGCTATACCTGAAGCTGATTTAAGAGGAATACATGCGGCTTAAAGCACAAGGTGAAGGTGAAAGCACAATGTGGGCCTCTGACGGTAGTGAGCCGTTGAGCGTATGAAGCAAGTGTAGCACTGGATGATGTCTGACCATCCTTCAGTCGTCACAGCAAACAAGGCCCCTCACACAGCAATCTACAAGAGTTGAACAGTATTGTGTTTTATTATTATTCTTTCGATATATCAACCGGGATCCATGTATATTACATTAAGCATAGCTGAACGTGTGGTGTGTGTGTGGTGTGTTAAGGGCGGTTATACCGGCTATACATACAGAAACGTACGTAAAAAGGATGAAGAAAGAACCCGTACCTCTTTTTTGCCATTCCAGACAACAACAACAACAACAACAAAACGATGCCATGTGTTATTTTCACTACGTTGGTAAGAAATGCAACAATCCAGAGTTAAAAGAAAGAATTCAAAATGGATCAGGGAAACCCTTGTATATACGTAGACTTACCACTGTTTTGGCACCCAAGTCGGCACGTGGATCAGGGCTTTGCTCCAAGCCTGGCGAGGAGCCCATCCTCTTCAGCCCACTCCTCCGCCTCATCATTCACCTGGGGAACAACTGGGGAAACATGAACAGTCAACGTTACATCACTAATATGATCGTGACGCTCGCATGCGTGATGATTTTGCCTTCCAACATCTTTTTGGAGATTAACAAGCTTAAGGCGTAGTTGTAGAGTCCAGTCTAGTTTGGGACGGCGCGCATCCCCACCACTACGGCGCAGTATGTCCTGGAAGTGAGAAGGGCACTTACTGTAACGTCGGCAGGATTTTGACGACTCCATAGATACAACGTAAAACATTGTCTTATTGTTTTGTCTAAGGCAAGTATATCGTGTACATCATATGTTGTCCGGTATAAATGATTTTCAGTTGTAGTACTTAATGGTTTCCCCAGTCGTAAAGATTCAGGATGACGTAAGTTGTACAATACCTGCTGCCAGGTCTCGGGCCTCGCGCTCTGCTGCGGCGTGAGTCTCGTCGTCACCTTCCACCCTGCGGCAAAGTGGAGGGCACCCCCAACCAGTGCCCGGCTGGGCATCAGCGTGGTAAAACATGAAGGCCAACAAGGCGACCAACAGAAGCAAAAGTGTCGGAGTTCCCCTCATCTTTTCCCTACACGAGTTTCAGATACCGACAGCTGCAGTAGAGATTAGAGAGTCTGTAAGTGTGCCCTATTCCCTGGTCTTACGACTTGAGCTCTCTAGCCACCTCTAACCTTGCCAGTGTGCAGCGCCAACTGTTCTAGCTATATATATAGGCGTAGGTATTTGTTGAGTTGGCCAATAGGGTGAAGATTCGGTTCACCTGACTTAACCTATAATATTTACCATAATATTATAACTAGAGTTCCACGATCTTGTACCTTCGCAAAATGTTATAGCTTGAACATGCATGACGTTGTGTTACACAATCATTCAACCCCGCGACCGGTCAGATTAAAAGCAAAGTACACTGTGAGGTGCAAAACAAGTCTGATTGACAGGTCTATTGTTCCAGATAGTTGCACGGACGCGCCAGTAGTTTCCACAGGCAATAAGTTTGACCAACGTGTGCTGATTAAATGATGACACTATATGATGCTGAAAATTATGTAGGGTTTTATAATACATCTAGTCTCTAACACCAAACGCTTGATTTGAGATTAGATGTCTCTGTATATGATATATCTATTACCCCTTTAATCAAAACACATTTGGGTGATCGATGGAGGTGTTATCAAGGGTCACAGGCATCAAAGCATTCCTAAACGCAGTCAACAGTAGAAATTGTAGGCGAAGCAAAATACACTCTTCAATGAAACAATTCTTATCGTCTGGGGGGAGACTTGGCCCACGAATAAATCAATAGTACAGCATGTGGTTTCGTATGGCAAGTCCCCCGAAGACATGACTCACCGATGAACCCATGCGAAAGTCAAACTTTGATACAGCTGCAGTTTGAAGCCATCTTATAATCATGTCTTTGTAACCCAAAAATCAGGAACGAAAACACCCTGGAATAAGCTGACTCAAAGCTTTATAAATCTGATGAAAACGCAGCATTGTCTGTTTGTCAAGTTAGAAAACGATATACTTTACTTTTGAATATAGAATAAACTCGAGCTCTGATCTCGAAGTTCCCAAAATAGAGACCAAAACGACTTATTCATGTCATACACGCGCCATATATACAAACCTATCCTCGGTCAAATATACAATAGAAACCGTTATACCGATGATGATGATGATAATGAAGATATAACGATGAAGATTGCGGATCACTGCGTAGTTGTGTCGTTTTTGCTAATGCATTGCATGTTGTAAGACAGTATCAGTTCTATGAAAAATTGTCATCTGTGTCTAGAGGTCTGGAAATGAATCCTTTCCTTTGTCTTTCTTATTTTCTGCAAAACCTGATTTTTTAGGACCGTTCAAGCAGACTAGAAGTAAGTTACATACTCATAAAGTCGCCACTTTGCCAAATTTCTCACAGTTATGCGGTTAAGCCTTTGTATGAAACTGATCTGGTGTTTGTTTAATCGTTTTTATTCTTTTCTCATTAACAGTACGCAGTGAATAATTACTTGCCTTAATCTCTTAACATCTCTTGAACAACAAAATATAGGCTGCGGACAGCATCAACGTGGAAAGATACACAAAAGCACAAGTAGAAAGCTATAGACTAGAGGAAAAGAATTTAACAAATCAGCAGTGACAAAACAAGAAACATTTGTGTGATAGACTAGGACAGGGTCAAGGTGATAGACAGAAGACGATAGATACACTCCTTAACTTAAAGGGCCTGTAGTGATCAGAAATTTAAACCTACTCCAGTCATGAACCTTCATGAGGGAAATCTAATTAACTTAACCACTTTTGGGACTGCACGCTTCACACTGCACCAGCGACACCTAGCTGCAGTGTAAAGTGGAACCACGTTGTCCCTTAGTATTCAGAAATTCCCTTAAGTACAAATGTAGGTGACAGCCTGTCAATGAAACGTCGTGGGGTAATACCTACAGGCTGTGTGTAAAGAACTTTGCTATCGTTTGTCTACTTGTGGTTCCGAAGTGGTCATTTAAGACGATGGCCATCTGACATGCGGGGCTCAACAGCACTTGACACTTAATAGGGTAGGTGGCGCTGGTGAACAGATCGTACTATCATAAACTATAATCTCACAGATTAATTCATAACACTAGCCATTTCACTAACAACCAATTATTTAACAACAATCTTTATTAACACAACACTTAAGGTCGATTTTATAACTATAACAGTTACATACCAGAAACAACTGGATATGAATGAATATTAGTAACCTACGTACAAGTAACTTTATAGGAATTAAATCAACATGTTGAGATTGCCGTAACGCTTTTTATAATCAATATATTACTAGTGCTAAGGTCTAAACATTCTTGAAATGATATATATATAACAGTTATAACTAAGTTAGTAGTACTATACACAGTAAGAGTTATCGTCCTAGAATGTAATTGAATTTTATCTGTAACGTGACATGTACGTCGAAAGGTCTATATCTATCTATCTATCTATATATCGTACTGGGCAAGGCCCCAAGGTCGATAAGTAACAAATCCCTGCAGAAACCGCTAGATGTCGCTCGTGCGCGGTACTTCAACTTTGAACTTTGAACTCCAGGGGTCACGATGCGGAAAGCAAGAAGTCCCCGGGAATCCTGAATCGTTCATCAACTCTCGTCCCGGACTGGTCCCTGTCTCCTCATCATACTGCCATGTAACTACTTTTAACGACAATGAATTTTGGTAAGGGGGCCTTGTAAGGGTCCCTATTTATGTATTTCAAAGCGTTCCAGAAATATTCTATGGTATACACGAGGTTTAGAAAGTCAGAAATTAGACGAAAAATCATTATACAACAGCTGCCTCGAGGATCTAGAAGAAAAAGACAACTTTCACTAATATCAAAATATCGTATATTTCCTTCAAGTTGCTGGCTGTATTTTCCTGAGGGACAACTTCTTATATATGTCAACATGGAAATAACCAGACACAGTAAGTTTCTTAAGTTTTAGTTCATAATCTAAATCTTCAAGTATACAGTGTGCTGAATTGAATTGAATGCTAACATCCTTCCATAAATCTTTAAGGGCCCTCAAGTAACACACTTCTTAGTAGTATTTAGTTTCTATATACTGTATGTCATCAAACCTTTGCAGTGGTTTTATTTTTGCTGTGGCTGCTCCACTGCGGATTATGATACAGCAGATATACTGTCTGTTACAAATGTAGTTGTGTGACTACTGTACTACAGAATTGTTTCAATTGCAAACTTAAAACATTGCAAAAACCTCCTATTCCTTCATATTGTGAAACCCCAGAAAAAAAACAAAAAATTTACAGTACCATGCAAAAACATCTCGGGGTGAAGTCTGCCATCTCTAAATGTTTTAAATCCCATTCTGCAGACTTTAAGCAGGTGATAGATCAGGTGTCAGAAGCGGTGGATGAAGCTTCCTTCCTGTGTATCGATGGAGAGTTCACAGGTAAGCTTGTTGACCTGTTAAACTTAATTCTCTCTGCTAGAGCTGTGTACTGGTGCTGTACCGTAAAAATTGATTGGTTACTGGTCCAAAAGACCTAATTCCTAATTTTGTTCAGGATAAGGTTCAGGTCCGGACCTGTACCTAAACCTGTGTACCTGTACCTAAACTTTGTTTAGATACACAGCCCTACTGTCGACGTCTGCTGCCTTGCCTCATAAACATACATGCATCTCGTATCCTGAATATTGACTTGTGTTGCCAGGTTTAAACAATGGTCCGGCTGTACATGGGTTTGACACACCTCAAGAACGATACGACAAACTTAGGAAGGTACGTATGTAATGAAATTTGAATATGGGTCACAGTTGCTAAGTGTGTGTGTGTGTGTGTGTGTATGATGTGTGTGTATGTTAGTATGCGTGTGTTCACGGTGTGTGTGTCTGTGTTAAAATGTGTGTGTGTGTGCATGTGTAATTTTTAGGTGTTTCTATATGACATTGTGTAATGTGTGTGACTGTGTGTGTGTGTGAATGCAAAAGAAAATAGGCTACTAGTACTAGTACCTACATGTAGAATAAGAATAAAACAGCATCTTCTCTCCTTGAGTCAGAAACACCTTGGAGCTCGACTCAATAACAGTGACCCACTTTTAGTATCTAATAGAAAGACTGAGCAGGCTTGTCGACTGATTTTGACACTGTTGTACCCTAGGGCTCCTTGGATTTTCTCTTTGTCCAGTTTGGACTGTGTGCTTTCAAATATGAGACAGAAGAATCCAGGTAAGTGCACAATTTTCTAAGGCCCAATTTCCATTAGACAGCTATCACCAAATGACCTAATGATATACTTGATACGACCATATGTAGTATAAACCAAATTGAATTTGTGTGACCCCTGATTTCATATTCAGAATATGATGCAAGATATAAAAAGCTCACAAAAAAAAAATGAAAAAAAAAGGTCTATCAGTCTACATACATGTAGACTGATAGAGATAAACAAAACATGTCTGGACATGTATCAAGCATAGCCAAGACTTTGAATCTTGGACAAAACAAGTCATTATAATTAGAGGCCTTCACTTTTGCCCTCACATGTGTGCAGTTTAAAATCGTAAAGTGGGTTATCATGTAGTGTCTGAGTTGAATTTGAAAATGTTTTTATTCAGGTTTGTGGCCAGACCGTTCAATTTCTACATCTTCCCTCGACCGTTGAACCGAAATGCTCCGGACTGTCGATTTTTGTGCCAGGTACATGTATATTGTTTGTTGTTTGCTCCATTGTATGTCTTGAAAAAAAGACTGATTTACCTTACATATTTTGATCCCAAAACCTAATTCTGTTTGAAAGTAGAAAAAACTGATCGAAGCCATTAGCAAGTTATTGATGACATACATACAGAATTCTTATCCAAATGTTTCTTTTTTTTGCTTCAGGCCTCCAGTTTGCATTTTCTTGCTTCTCAGGGCATGGATTTCAACAAAGTTTTCAGGGATGGTGAGGATATTTTATATCATATTTAACCCCTCTTCCCATCTCTTATACTTTTTAATAGCCTGAACTATACATATACATGTACCTAAAAGGAGCTTCATTTGCACGAAGTAATACATATCACTATATGTTAGCATGAGTGTAGATTTCTGTAGCAAAATCTTGGAAAAGAAAATCTGACAGAAAGGAGCCATCTGTAATTACAAGTACTAGGAACATGACCAATGTATATTTCACTTCCCATACCATGCAGGGAAAGAAACATATTGATTTGATGATTTGAGCTTCCCCATTTGCATGGACAGGCATCCCGTACTTGTCTCCTGTTGATGAGCAGCAGATGAGAGACACCCTGGACCAAAAACACGCCACGCAGCAGCTGAACTCCCCTCCATTTACGAGTGGTACGGCCCACACATCAGACTCCACCAGAACCATCCAAGTCCCCGCTGAACACAAGGACTTCATACAACAAACTCTGTAAGGAAGTTATTGTATAGCCACATTTTTGTGTTTCTTCACATAATAGATCAATCCTAACTGTCCATCACAATTAGCAGTCTGACCAATCACTGTGTGTCAGTTAGCGACTTGACCAATGAGAGAGTGACTGCATGACCCTCTAATATTTAAACTATTTTTGGAAACAAAATTTCATAGATGAGCTTTTTTGAAGCGTGTTTGGTAAGAGGACAAAGCAAAAGATTGTTTTAGTTTAGAGACTTGTATGGATGACAGTATGTTGCCTTTCTGTGTTTCTTTACAGCACCAGAATACAGTCCTTCATAGACAGTGATGAGGACACCATTCAGTTGGAACCCTGCAATGCGTATGTCTTTCTTTGTAAATCCGATGTTTTTCTCCTAAATGGATTTCAATACTGTTTGTCTCTGTGATTTTTTTCATATGATTTCTGAAGATGTGAGACGTTTGAAAAACTTCTGTGAGATTAATGTTTAAAGTTTTCAGGGCAGCCCTAGTATTAGCATTTTGTATGAATTTTACGAAATTTATTCAAACTTTGTGAAAATATGCAAAGCAGTATTGGAAAACGTACAAAACTTATGAAAAACAAATATAATGTTTTTTAACATTAAAATCATAATGACAAGTATACCACGATTTTGCCATAGATATCTGCGAAAGCTGATCTACTCAACAGTTAAAAACAAGTAAGTAACATTGAATTTTATTGAATACAGTGTAGGATCCCAAATGGTAAGATCTATATTTAATTAATGTTCAATCATGTTTACAATGAAGTTACTTAGTGATAAATGGACATCTGATTGTTCTGAGGTACCAGCCCTCCTGCGAGTTGGATCTCTGTGTGGCCTTTGGCTATGGGGCGACCTGACCAGTGGTCGAGATGGTATCTCGGGTGATATGGAATACCACATGTATTTTGTATACACTGTGTACACTATATACAAAATACATGTGGTATTCCACATCACCCGAGATACTATACAGTGTAAACATTTTCCATATGCATGTACCCATATTTGAAAAGACATTTTAAATGTTACGTTTAGCTAGTTGGACATGCATATCTTGTGTGGTCTCAACAATCATTTAATTTAGATAATTAAATGAATTTTGTCTCTACAGGTTTTCATCTTCAGTGTACCTGGAAACCAAAGTAGGAGAGCAGGTGATTTATATTACTCATTTTGAAGTGCAAACTCTTTTTTTTCAACACTAATTTTGTTAGTTCAATCTATCAGAGTAAAATGGGTAGTGCCCCTTTCATTTGTTTTTTTACTTCTGTGTATGGAAGAGTCTTGTTGACAGTTTAGTTGCCCCGACAGCAGTACAGACTGCTATGGGACCGGTGAGGTGAGGTGAGGTGAGGAGGTACATGTATGGAAGTATTGTTTTGGGTGGTTGACTTGTAAGTTTGTGTGTTTCATGTCCAAGAAGTGACCATTGCATGGAGGGTGGGAGGAGGTTTTGACAGTTGATTAATCTGAAGGTCAATTGAAGGTCAAAACTGAACATTCAAGGTGACCCTGAGCACATGATGGCCTGGGTGGTACGTGGATGAATCCAGGAAGTTTAAAGTATGGAATACGCAATGACCAGTGCCCCCCACAGTAAATACATTAACAAAAACGCAAAACAGTTCTCAGAAGTCTGAAATCTTTGATAATCATTTTAATTTCTTTTTTTCTGCTCATGTAGAATCAACACTACTTCATAGAAGTCAGCAAAGCCAATGAGGAGTTATTGAAAAAGAGAGGAGAGGAAAAAAGACAACAGGAACTGGTAAGTTAATTTTTTTCATTTAAGATTGAAAATTTCATTGGGATATGTTCTTTTGGAGGCCTGGCGAACCTCTGTTCCGTATCAGCCACATGGTGATTACATCACCACACATGGTGATTACATCATCACCCGGACGGAGGCGTGGCGAACCTTGTATTAAGCTAACGAAAGGGTATGTCACCTCGTAAGGGGCGGTATAACCCCGACCAATACGGTCGACCGATGATGATGATGTTCTTTTAGTACATGAAGCACAGTACGTACTGTATACAGAAAACCAACGTTTTATCACTCAGGTGTCAGATCATGGAGCTAGAAAAGGTTGATCAGTTCAAAGAAATGATATTAATTTATGTTCCTTGCAGGGGTACACATCCCCAAAAAGAGTCTAGGATCGGCAGATTTTTCTAGGGTTGGTCGGGAAACAGAAAACACAACATTTTTTCCCTAGACCCCATAATTATATCTGATTTCAGCTTCAAGGGTTGAAACATCATCAAAGCCAACAAATCATAGTTTCAGTAATGATTTAAAGGACTAGTGTATAATACATTGTATGTTAATTTATAGTTTTCCTTTTTACTACAAACGTACAAGGATTATACATTCACTGCAGCATTATATTGTCCTTTGTAAAATTACTGCACAGAAAAACAATTTGATGGAACTCAATGATTATATATACAAATGTAGATAACTTTTTTAAATAAATTTTCAGGATGAACTGGATGATGCTGTTGGGATGTCCAAAATCATCAGGATGATTTGTCAGTCGGTAAGGTTGTTATTTAAACCTTTGAAGTCTTTTTGAATTTAAACTTCTGACATTAAAATTCTCCCTGCTGCCTAAGCCCCTAGCCAATACATATTTGTAGCCAAGTATCAGGGAGTCATGATTATGATTAATATACAACATTTCCTGGTTATATTTTCCTCTGTTGTAATATTATTATAATGTTATATTATAACATTTGATTCATTATTACATGTATCATATATCAAAACAACAGTTTTTGGCTAGTAGTATACATTGATATTATCTTAATAATAACAATTTCAACCATAAAATGAACATACATTGTAAAATTGCCATACGTGTACTTAATAAGGCTAGTATATTACAAAAATGAAATAATTATAAATGAACATTAAGAAGGAAGGATAGCTTTAGAATATTCAATTCAGTATTCAAAACATGCACTTATTATGCAAGGTATTGAAGAGAAACTCTCACAATGTATGTCAGTCTGCAGGCATTTGATTGGTCAATGTAATAACCTTATAACCCCATGTAGGGGAAACTTGTCATTGGTCACAACATGCTGCTGGATGTTCTCCACCTTCTGCATAAGTTCAGCTACCCACTGCCTCAGGTTAGTCAATCATATTATCATTGTGGGCTATACCTGATTGGCCAATCACACCTGTCACTGGAAAGGGTTGCAGTCCCTAGGACATGAATATTAACATAAAATTGATTGTTTATATTCTCTGATGCTATATTTTATCTACTGCCAAAAGCAAAGGCAATATTTAAACACTGTCTTTATTGTTTAATTACATCTAAAATAAAGCATCTACAATGTACAGAGACTATGAATAAAATTTGATGTAAAACTGAGTGAAAATTGCCCCTCTAAGATTAACGAAGTTGTAGAGGGCTTGATAAACAAGATATTATTAATTATTTTTACGTTCACCTTTTGCTTTTAAGTTGTTGTTTTGTGTTTTTCCAGGAAATAGATGAGTTCAAGTCTCTAGTAAACTGTCTCTTCCCAAGGTGAGCGATACTTAAAATCTTTTATCATTTAATTGAAAGCAGGATATTGTGTATTACTTAGTAATAAATGAATCTAACCTAAGTATGTGCCCTGCATAAATGCTCTGACAATGTGTTGACCAATCATTTAATTAGATAAAATATCATTAATATCCTTACAAAGTCCTTGTTACTGAAAAGTGCTATGGTTTAGATCATTAAAAAAATCACTGCGCATCACAGGACTGCCATATTAAAAAAATAATAAATAAATAAAAGATAAGCAGCATCGAGGTCTTCCGGAGAATTTATACATGTAGATCGCCTGGAAATCTTAATGTGGCAACCTCAGGGACTACTGATGCTGAATTTAATGACATCTCTTTAGACCCACATTTCCTCTGTACCCAGAAGAATTATGTGAGTTCCACGTACAATGTAGAACATTATACAAAATGAAATATTATCATATGTAATATATTTCTATTCTTTTATTATGTACACTCAGGTAATCATATTATATATTATGTACAGGTGATATGTACATTGTACTAATAGTTTTCTCACATTTCCTGTCCTAATAACTGCAGATTACTGGACACTAAACTGATGGCAAGCATGCATCCTTTTAAGGTAATGCCACGCTAAATTTTATGGATGATTTTGCCTTATTTAAAAAAGAAATGTACATACTTATAAACAAGACGCTCAGTTTCATTTCGTCTGGCTTTATTTATTTTCTGGTTTTAATGATAGTTGAAATCTAACTTTTTTCAGGAACTTGTCTCTAACACAACACTGGGAGACCTCGAGGCAACTTTAGGGAAAGAACCATTCAAAGTGCCTGTCATAGGTCAGTTCATCATAGTAAGATGGTTCAAGTGTAAACTTTGCATGTTAACTGTCACAGTGATGCAATAATGTGGGTAATATGTCAAAGTTAAAGGCTTCTGAGATGTAAAGAAAGCATGTCTGGACAGGTTAATTTAAGCATGGTCTAGACAAGAACTGTTCACAAGTTATGGGCCTTCGCAAATGCACAGTTTAAACCATGCACTGGCTTGTATGGTTATCCTTTCAAGACATTATAGATGGTGCTGAATGACATTCACATTGACACTGTTGTCCCTGGTGCTAAATGATGTGTACACTGGCACTGCTGTCCCTGGTGCTGAATGACATTCACACTGACACTGCCATCCCTGTCCCTGGTACTGAATGACATTCACACTGACACTGCCATCCCTGTCCCTGGTTCTGAATGACATTCACACTAACACTGCCATCCCTGTCCCTGGTACTGAATGGCATTCACACTGACACCGTTGTGTACAAAATGTATGCTGGTAGTCCACTAAAAAAAATCACAATCCAATGATTTGAATTCCACAGTGTTTCCAGAAGACTTCCCAGCCTATGAGACAGCCCAGGAGCACCAGGCTGGTTATGATGCTTACATCACTGGGAGATGTTTCACCATCATGGCCAACTACTTAGGTCAGTGGTTATGGGTTCAACTTCATGGTTCCAATTGTGCATGTACATGTACATGTACATATATGCTGTTATACATTGTGAGTTGAAGTCCCCCAAGACATAAACAAAACACACTTGTCCAGACGTGTTCACTATATGTCTCAGGGGCCAACACATCACCCATAATACATTACGCTGCACAGGTGGAACTATGAACCTGCCTCTTTTATAATAATAATATGACCTATTGGTAAAAAAAACCCTTTTTATACACCCGCCTGTTTTATCTGGTATTCTTTCATTGTTCTTATCTGACTTGATGTCTAACATATTTTGGAAATGTGGAGCATTATTCAACATAGTCAAGAGGAAATTCGATCATGCTTCAAAAAGTGTTAGAGTTCTGTTTCCAATTTCTTTACGGTCATTTTTTTGTGACTTCACACATGTATGTTCTAGGTAAGTTCAAGTCGCAGTCTAAACCTGTACTTCCCGGATCAGCCTTGTTGGAACCTTTTGTGAACAAGTAAGTCAAAACTTGGTAATCACTAATTCTGTCAAATTGTCAAACAGTGTGATATATTATGTAGAAGTGACAGATCTAGGAGGTTTTTCACATTTATCTGCAAGTTTTTGGGACAGCCTTGGATATTAATTTTGTAACATACAAAATTCAGCCATGTAATGTGACAGAAAATGTTATCCTAATGTCAATGATGTGTTCTGTCATAGCCTCTATGAAAATCTTAGTATACCAGAAAAAAATTGCATAACGTCCTATGTCGTTTCAGACTTTACCTGATGAGAGTACAAGACATTCCTTACATCAATCTGACTGGAGAGGACTGTAAGTGGCCTTGTTTCTGTCTGCATGGAAAACTTCAGTGAAAGCATATATTTAGTTTTAACGTTTATGGCTAAGACAATGCTTTAGAAATGAAACTGTTACAATACTAACTAAAACTTGTAAAAGCTTTTGAATGAAACATAGAGTATTCTACACAATAGACTAGTACTGCATAATGAACATGTTGTAGAAAGGCAGCAAAGATTTTGGGCAGGCTAAAGCCTTTGGTATACAATGTCTTGGGATTGGGTTTGAAAATATTGTAAAAAGTACAGTCATGTAAAAATCATGCCATGTAAAAATCATGATTATGAAAATAATGTGTAGAGGGTGTGTGTGCATCAATACTTCTTCAGAAGGTATAGATAGCAAATGACCTTTTTTGTTGTCGTTGAATTAGTAAAACCCAACAGAGACCATGTCTTCCATGTGACCTTCCCTAAGGAGTGGAAGTCTAATGACCTGTACCAGCTCTTCCGACCATTTGGTAAGATGTCATCATCATGTTACACATTAGAGTACTGGTATAGTAGGAATTATTCAGTCATACACATGTATGTAAGTCCCATAACCGTGATGGTCGTAGGGGCATCATGACAGCCAGCAGCATGTCTGGACTTGCCATGATGTTTCTGGAGGCATATAGTTAATCTTAGTGGCGCCTATCTCCTCTCCAAGATTTTGGCCGATACAGACGGGGTTCACCAAGCCTCCATCTGGGTGAATGATGTAAATCACCATGTGGTTTATACCATACAAAAGTCTCTGTACTTTTTGTTGTGTCAATAAAGAATCATATATACAATGTATAGTCATACATACACGTGGTAATACATTATGAAACTTTTTCAGTGGTTTCATTTTCGTTGTCACCTCTGCAAATTGTGTTTTTAATCATCTTCCTGCTGCCTAACATTTAATCAAAACAAATTTGGTGCCCAATGGCAACCTCTTCTAGTTGATTAAGGTACATTTTGTAGGTTGTACAAGAAATATCATATGATTCAAAGTTCCAAACTGTTGTAAGATATACTTCACTGTAGCACCAGTGTGCTTATTCCCCGTGTTCAGGACCAATCTACATTGCCTGGATTGATGACACATCAGCTTTTGTGGCTATGAGTAAGAAGGACCAGTCAGATCTGGGTAAGCAGCATTTCAAGTTCGACCTTTCCAGCATGTAGACATTCTTGCCTTTTTGCCACACCAATTCAATTTGATGTTCCTCAGGTTGAAAGTTGGTAATGGCAAAATGAGCTTTCCTACTCTACATCTGGAAAGGGTGGATAGCGAATTTGTTAATTTAATATAATGTACAACCATCATTTTTTTCAATTGACAATTGTACATTATATTAGATTAATAAATTTGCTGCCCACCCTTTTCAGATCTAGAGTAGGAATTAGCTATATAAAGGCTCATTTTTCTACCATAGTTGAAGTTTCAATGAACCTAATTTTGCATGTCTCATGCCTCTAGCCTACAAAATGCTGTGTGAGGGAGTGAGCTACAGAGTAAGGCGGTATGGTGAGCACAAAGAGCCACTCGCTCCACATGGGCGGAAGAGACCCCTGTCATTCCCAGAGGCCATTACACCTCGGAACGGGGAAGGCAAGAGGTTAAAGGTCACCAGTTCAGATGTGGGCAGGTTAGTGGTTCTTTCAAAGGTATTATCATATAGCCAAGTGACGTTGACCAATCAAAAGTCCCCATTTCATACTAAGATGTCACTACATGACAGACTTATTCTATAACAAGTTGTATCAGATTTATGACTTTTTCATTGTCTTTGTCTACTGTTTGCTTTTCCTTATTTTATTGTTTACTCCATTCTTGAACATTGATCTTTGACATTTTTTAAGAAGAATCATCAAACTGGATAGTGAGTGAGTGAGTGTTAGTTACAGTTACCCATACAACTGGATAGATTTTGAAATCTGTCAGATGTTTCAAGTAGCATCCACTACTTTTTGTCAGTGACTGTGTGTGCATGAACTACCTCATTAAGTTTAAGTTGTGTCCTTGTTTTGTTGGATGTTACAAAAGAAGGGTGTCGCCTGTGACCCAACGTTGTATCACCACCATCCTGGAGGAAGCCGAAGACAAACCCACCACAGAGACAGGAGAGGAGGAGGAGGAGGAACATCTCAAGGAAGATGGAGATGAAGATAAGGGTGATCTGAAGGAGGAAATCTTGGCAGAGAAAGATAATGATTGTAAGTCGTGGGACATGTAACATCCGTGTCCATAATATCACCAGGGTCCATAATATCGCCACCTTGAGAAATAGTGTGCTTAAAGATATTTTTACTGCAACAGACCCTAGGTATGTACATTTGATGTGTGCAGGAGTGCATACCAAAAGTATGTTGCAGTAAAAATATCTCAAAGCACACTATTTCTCAAGGTGGCGATATTATGGACCCTGGTGATATTATGGACACGGATGTTACATGTATTAGCTGTAAAACATTTCAGGATTCAAGATACATCTATTGAAGTTTCCCAGTGTAACTGACTGACACAGAGCTGCATTCAATTTACAATAATTATTAAAAAGAGTCATAGTTGGACATGCATTGTACAATATTAACACTAACTTAAGGCTAATACTGTAAAAGGCATTCAACAGGAAATGCACTAACTATATATTTAGCATGTAAATCAGCTATTGCTTAAATATTGCTAGCTATATAAAAAAACTGACATGTAAGCATGCAGTACTTTTCTTATGAACACACATTTCTTACTACCGGTATAAACACACAACAGATACAGTCTGGGTTATTTTGTTATCACTTCATTTACTTTCCATTTACACTTGCCTTCTTTCCTTTTTTTTGCTCAGCAACTCAGGCACAGCTGTTTGAGGAGCCTCAGGTCTGGTGAGGGGACAGCGCCTACAATAGGCCTCACAGCAGTCCTGACAGCAGAAGGAGGGAACAGCACTACAGCTGTTAACTTGGAACAGCAATGTGACTTTTTCTCACAGTGAAGGAATTGACACTTAGTGGAAAGGGTTTTGGGGATGTCATAAGAGTTGACAATGTAGCTTAATACACCAACTTTATATTGGTGATGAGATGGACTATGAAAGCAGCTATTTAACTGGTGAGACAAATACTGGTACATGTATGTCTTTGGGACTGTACCAAATTACTTTCTTGGTGGGGGTGCTGTCAAGTCGTCAACACAGGTGGTAAATGGTAAAGAAGGTGGGCAAATTTGACATTTAGCCCCTGATGTGGTAAACTAAGTGGAACAATCCTTGAAACAATGGCTCTACACAAAGCTGTTGGGCTGATTTAGTACAGATGGTAGATTGTTGTGGTGGGAAAAAACTTAAAATAGTTCTCAGACAAGCCACAATAATTAAAAGATACCATACTGCATGTTATGAGTATGAAAATTGTTTTTCTTTTGTTCTGTATAAGTTTTATTTTTTGTTGTGCTATTATAATCAAATAAAATACATGTGTACATGTACATGTATGTGCAAAAGCACTGCACAAAGCACACCTTAAGCGTTGCAAAGGCGTGCTTAAATTGCAGCGAGACAAAACATCACAATTTTACAATTTGACACAGTCACTTGCATTATGTAGTTTTTTGTAACCATGAGAAGCAATGCATGATTATAGAGGGTCCACCCGTGTGGTGTTGCCAAAAAGTTTTAGTTGTCATATTGCTGAAATATTAATATCATACATTACATGCTCTTGTATGTGGACAATTTTCTTGTCTCTATCCGATTCAGTGTCTAAAAATTTTACACCAAGTAGTATAAAGCGAAGCATTTTTTCACAGCCAAATCAGTCAACCATAAACTGGTTCATTGTTTGAAGTGCGCATGCATAATGTAATGGATTGTGGGTTAAACTGTCAAAGTTGAAGGTACATGTAACTGAGACATAAACAAACATGCCATGCAGGCATTAAGCATGGTCTAGGCAAAACAGTTTACAAGTTAAAACGTTATGTGCAGTTCAAGTTATGGACCGGCTTACACTCTAAGGTACAAAATACTTTTTTCTGGTATCAGGAATCAGGTTGCTGGAAATTTACTGACCCACGAAAACACAATCATCTGTATGATATGAAAAGAAGACATATTTGTATTGCAAGACCAAACAATAAACATTGGTGTTGGTTGAAAGATTCAGGTGCAGTTGTTGTTGTACAAACTTGTAAAAGATTATGAGACTCAGTTTGAATCCCAAATCTTGTATATTTTGTAGCTCTACTGACTTGCTGTGCACTCAAAAAAAGTTACAGCTGAGTTGTGTGTTTGAGGAGAGCTGCACCTTAAAGGCATTAATGAACCCACCACACGTATAAATAAGAATATGGTATGCCCTGGTGTGAAAATGAATTAATCCTGTGAATCTGTTCTTAAGCAGCCTGTACTGACTACCCAAGTGAAGAAATTACCGTTTTTTCCAGTCTAGACTTATGGTAAAAAAAAACAGTGCTGAATGCAGTTTTCACAAAAGTCTCAAGGGGTCACTGTGATACCAGGGGCAGTCCAAATATTCCCAATATCGAAACACCTGTAATTATTCTGCTTGATTTATTGAAACACCTGTAATTGTACACACTCAGGCATATTCAATTTGTGTTAGATAGTACATATTTGGACTCAAATCTTTTATAACATATACTGCCAACTTTATTCCTGGCTATCTGTTTTGTCTTTGGGAAAGACTACATGATTTTCCTCACTTAACCCAGCTGTAAATTGTTACCAGACTAGTTCGGTTCCTAGAAACATCACTTTGTCTTCGTCTAGATATTTTGAATAAAAAAATAGATGCTTGGGAGGCTTGAGTGTGATGATGATATGTGGCTCAAATAATTGGTCACATTGGTGACTTGAATTGGGCTAATTCTGATAACACTCGACTGCTTATAATTGCAATATATCATGAGCTCTTTCTAACGAAGAAGAGATATTTTGTAATAGTTTTAGTGGTTACGTGTGGCAAAGAATTGCGTCACTTCTTGTTTCTTGGCCAGTCGTGGCATCTGCTTGGTTTCCATTCATACATTGTAATGTCTCCATCCCTTAACCATGGAACGAAAAAAAACGTGATACTCAGCATAAACACAAAGCCCCCAGCAAAACTCCTGATGTACCCTTAGTCTCCATCATACGTCTCTTGCCATGGTGCTGAATTCGTTGCTGTTGCCACATCTTCAGGGAATGCTGCCTCCTTTCATATTTATCATTGATATACTTCATATTATGCAAATTTAAGCAATTATCACAAGTCTAATAGTATTTACAAACTGCTACTTCTACACAAAGCTACTTCTCTGTTGCTTCTCCAGTTGCTTCTCGCATGCCTTTGTTTTTGGTTGGTCAACCCTTATGGGAGTGATTCGTGTAAATTGTCTCAATCAAGCGTAACTGCTTGCCATAGAAGCGATCCTCCATCATGCAAACACTACCTTAAATCCCCGCACCTATTACTGTTATGTTTTGAGGGACCTTTACAGTTCGATAAAGTACTTCTTCTCCCATGTGGGTAAAAGCTTTTAAGGGGTGCCCAGACTGTAGCTAGGTCAGCAGCCCAAGTTTTCCCTGTGAGGCCTGTTACCAGCACTTCTAGACTGGCCTTGCTACGTCTCGCGACAGGAAATGACTGGAATGTGTTCTCAGGAGATAGGTAGGTCGTACCTGATCCTATCACTGTCCAAGTGTAGTTGTCCCCACAAGGGGTTGCATATTAAAGGCATCCAAAGCAATTTCAGGGCCGCAAAGCAAAAAAAAATATTCTGGATGAGGAAGGAAATCTGATGTTGACATTTACTGCCATTTCTTAGCAAATTTTCTCCATCATGTTATTCTTGAAGCATTTAAAATAACCCCAAGGCATCTCTATTTTGGGTACCACTCATCGGTTTTGCCGTCCATCCAGTTGCAGGAATTCCATTGGATGCCTTGAAGTAGCCTGACATCCATTCCTATTCTAGCACCTGCCTGCTCTTCAAATTGCTTCCCGGCTGAACAGTCTGCAGATTATATCTCCATTTAAATATTTGGTCTTTTTGTAACAGATTAGTTTGGGTATTAACTTTGGCCGCCCGGCCATCCGTACATCCACACAGGTCTTCACGTTACAGAACTGCAACAGGATGTGCAGATCGAGGATTGGGCATCACAGCCACATGAGAGCCTGTCCTCTAGAGGAAAACCTTCTGCTTGACTTTTGTGATGCGGAGAAACAGCCATAAGGCCTAGAAAAAATGTTGTGTTTCCGATTAGCCCATGCTGATTTGATTATATGGATGTCTTTTAATCGTATCATTGAGTTACATATTTTCATCTAAAAACAAGAATTCCAAGTGTTGCAAGGTCAGAATTGTTACCTTCGAAATACAATTCACCTAGTATCTTAAGTGTCAATTAGACAAGTGTTAAATTTGGTACAGTTACACCAGATGTTCAGGTGCAGACCTGTACTTACATATAAACAATTTACCCAGCACTTCTAGGCTGGCCTTGCTACTCATTTAACTGTAGACTGGCCTTGCAACTCATAACATTTATGGGTTGTCTGAAGAATTGCTCGTCAATTAGAGCTGCAAATGGCGAATAATTTTCCCAGATGACAATGGCCATTATACATATAATCCCCATATAGATGTCTCTTGTTTTTATCTCCCACAAAGGAGCAGGAGCGACCATTCTAGGGATCAAGGTTTCACCGTCAACCATTATTTCAAAAGCTGCAAAGTGGTAAAACCCATTAAACTTAACCCCATTAAACTACAACACACTGAACATTCCATGTTTGTGATTTAATGACTTTCCCTGCCCATTAAAGGGACAACATTCTCATGATAGTTTCCACAGACATTCTATTATTTTTGACACATTTTTTCAGCTATCCTTGTACGAAGAAAAAGGAATGTTTGAAACTATCTTCCACAAAAATACAGGTCTATGTTCCTTATTTATAACATCTCCAATATACATGTAAAGACTTCAATCCTCCTCCCTGAGGAATACAGCCTAAGTAATGTGACACTGTATACTACTCAAGTCTTCAACATGAAGCAAACATTGCACTAACAACATACACAATACAGCAATAAATACACTGTTACAATGTACATTCACTGTCAATTCACCATTCAGCTATTCTATCTTCTATCTTTGGTTTTTCACAGTATGAAATTATAGTCACTGTCATCTTGGCACACAAAATTGGTGTGTCTAAATAAAAAAAAAAAATTAGGTCAAATCACCCTGGGAGGGTTTGCTGATATTACAGCTACAATGAATATAAGGCTAGAAAATCCTGATGCTAAAGTAGCATTTAAACAACGACTTACATATTCACATGTATTCTGCTAAATTCATCCTTACTTCATACTTAAACATGATTTTTTTTTCTTGATTTTGAGAATCAACAAAATGAATGTGGCCTTACATGTGTATAGGGATTCCCTACAAAGATACATGCAAATTTATTGAAGATATCAAAGTTTACTGTAGATGCGAAGCCATCAAAACGACTGTGAGCCTGCAGCCTGTAGTAACTTCTCATAGGACATCCAGAACACTACGTACCACGGGGCCTGTGAGGCAAGAGGAGCGGGGTTAGTGGAGAGGTCCACGATTTAAATACAGAAACCCTGCAACCAAGGAAACACATAAACAGGCAACAATATACCATAATTTTGAGCTTCACTTTTTTTAGGGGGGTAGAGGGGGCAAAATAGTTGTCTTGAGTGCTAAATACCTGAAAACATGTCCAAATTGGAATGTTCTGCTTAGTACACACATACATGACTTGTACACTCTTTTCGTTGGGGGGGGGGTACATTTCTAGGACAGTGCTAATTTATACATTACAAATAATTACATTTTTAAGTGAAGGAGGAGAAATTACATGTTAGTCTTGTACAATAGAAAGATAACTTGATGTTTCTTAAATCATCATTTTAGGTGTACAGTAATTAATGATGGTCCATGTGGGACATCATAGTTCTGTATGCAAATTTGTGCTAATATATGCAAATATGGAGGGTAAGCTTTGCTCCTCAATTTCTCTGCTTTCTTCAGATAATATTCTCAATGATTTATAAAGGACTTTTGAAGATCAAGGCATTGCATGATACAATTGTACTGCTGGAAGGAATGCATACATGTAAAACAAGCAAGGTTTGACATATCAAATATATCAATTCAAATTTATTAAATGTCAAAATGATTCTGCTTCTTGATAATATGCAACGTAAGTTTTTATAACATTGGAGACAATTTTTTTTAATGTTTGGATATCAAGATATTTACATGCAGATTTGGCCATTTTAGAAATATGACCATAATATTTAATCAGCCATTTCAAATTTGACTGTAGACAATATTTGACATAATATATATATAGAACCACTGGTAGTTATTAGTTCTATAAGAGGTAGGAGTGAATCAGATGTGTCCACATTCAGTGAACACAAAGGTTGGTATGATGGCTGCTGGTCACATGACTCTGATGGACAGCTGTCTATCATCAGAAGGACGTTGTCCCCGACAACCGTCGGACCTGCTCATAGGACAACCAGAAGGTCAGTGACCAGGGGGCCTGCAGGAGAAAATAAACAAACATCGTCATTTTATATTTAGCACAAACAACTGTTGACCTACATGTAAGGATCTACAATCATGGTGTCAGTCTAGCAGTTGTTGATCATACAAATTACTTCTGAGATCAGAGATTTCAGACTTCTGGGAAGTGTCATGTATTTTGGAATCCTGTGACCATCAAGTTGACCCCATTTCCTGTGTCTAACCTTTTGACCTGTCATTGAGCATGTCAATCTTGCCCATTTACAAGTTTTCTCCATAATTTAGACAGTGTTGTGGAGTTTGACTTGCCTTCGAATAACGGTTACCTTACTTTCCTTAGACTCTAAGTTACAACTGAAAGAGTTAGACGTAAGTCTCTTCAAGAACTTTTGTGACAAATGTTCACTAGATGAAAAGATTACACCTACATAATACAACACTCCAAATCCTACAGGATATCTTATTATCCATACAGTTTGTCATCAGACTTTCTTGTCGACATTTTAACTTGGCCCAGGCACAAATACATTTTTCATTCACCATACAATTTAATACCAGGTGCATATTAGACAATCATGCACTGTCTTGCTATGTTGTCAAATCGAGTAGCTATAATTCAAACACTAATGATGAGATTTGCAATCTAAATTGAAAAAAGGATTCATGTCTTCCTCGTTTAATTTGTCAAACTCCCGTCTTGCAAAATTAACTTGTTGCATTCTAGTGAAGACTTGAAGCCTTGTCAGTGCTGTAAATCATGAAAATTTTGCAGTGGTTTTCTTTTTTCCTTTTTGTTCCTTTTTTTTTTTTTTCAGTGTCCTCAATGTTTTTTGTATTCCAGGTTTGTACTACAGAATTGTTTCAACCATGAAATTCAAACACTGAGAAAACCATGGGAAAATAAAACCATGATTGCAAAAGTAACTGCATTTACAGTGCTTCACATTCGATGATGATGTGATTTATATAAGAGGACTCCTCAAATCTACGCCTTGGAGCAGTCTCGTTAAAGTGCCAATTTCGAGCTGATTTCAAATCCAGGGGAAAATCTTCTTTGGGGATTTTCTGGATTATCGGGAGCAATCACTAAACACGGATTAGGGGCTCGTAGCTTTCCCAATCACAACAGCCTAATTCTAGAGCTCGCCAATAGATTGTGTTACATTAATTCCTAATACACCTTACAGCAATTACAGCGGAAGTTAGACTAGATGGACCTGGATTTCATTTGAACTGACATTTCAAGTTGGACATTTTGAGACATATCTGTGAGAAACTCTTGATCATGACTGACAAGCTTGTGGAATGGAGCAAAATAATTTTCTATTCTTTTTAAAGACATTACCAATTTAAATTCCTAGCTCTACAGTGTGAGAGGTGCAATTCTGTAACTTGGTGCAGATATGTACTCTGTTTATAATAGTCAGATGCAAAATTTTTCAAATATACCTCAGTCAATTTGACTGTACACTATATTACAAGTACCACAAAGACATAAAGCCTATTTTCACAGTAAGTCTTTCTTAACAATCAACCCAAAGAATAAGAACATTTTACTAAAATCCTAAAGCAACAAAAAGAGCAAATTAAAGAAAGGGCATTTGAAGAATTTTTCACTTGTTACATGAATTTTGGCAACAACCTTTAATTAAACAAGAGATAAATTTTGTTTTGCCTTTGATAAATCAAGATGAGATGTCAACACTGGCAAGTTATTATTAAACCCATGGGTATAGCTATGGGCACAAGGCAACTGATCAGAAGTATATTTAGCATAATGATTAAAAAGTTTACTATAAATTCAATATTTTTTTGGACGTTGTGCCCTTGGGAAAGGCACTTTACACGCATTTCCCCCCCTCAGTTAGAGGGTTCCTGGACCCTACTAGGGTTTGGGTTGGCGTTAGGAAGAGCATCCAGCCGTAAAAATCTTTGCTTCAAAAAAAGACTTGTACCTGGTGCAAGCATGTCTAACCCCCGGTTGGGGAAAAATGACGTTAAACTCGGTTTAAAAAAAAAAAAAAAAACTTAATTTTACAGTAAAAGCGAAAAGAGGGTCTTACAGCATTTTCAGTTCACTGTTGGAACAATGTTGTAGTATGGCATGCATAGAAATATGTATATTTACCATCTTATGATTTTGTGTGTTGGAGATAAAACTGACAGTAAAACATTTGCATACATCTCAGACACTGAACAGATTTCTGTCTAGACTCCCTCATGATGTATGTGTCTTATGGTTCAACTCAGGTCTCGTTACAACTTGTATGATTCTTCATCAATCTTTCGTATAACACAGTTGCATTGTAGACTTTAAACGACTATTACACGCCTTCACATCAGCACCTGCAGCTTAAGTCTGCTTGTTTGTAAATTAGTTAATTACGAGTCCTCGTAGCAGCAGGTGCCAATGTGAAAAGGCATTCCTCATTATTTGCTTCACTGCCCTAACTACATGTATAATGTATGAGTACCAATTTGCACACCTTTTTAATAGGCTTTAAACTTCAAAATTTCAGTGTGTTAGAAAGCAAGACTTTACAATCCTAAAATACAACACTTTTAGGCAGGAAGGAAAACATTTACATTTGCTGGTACATTTGTAGTTAGTATTGGCTTTCTAATTATAGATACTGGAGTATCATTTGAGAATTTCAAGTTTGACTGACTTGAGTAAGCTTGGCCAACTCTTTTTTTTCTAGGTCTAAATTGTTACATGTCTGTTCTTTTGTGGTCTGTGGTTAAGTAATTCCCCCACCTACATGCTGTTGTGTATTAAGACACAAAAACACCCCTACCCACATAAACAAGCCCACACATAAAACAATAACTTTGTTTTCAAGGTTCTGAAGGTAATGAGACAGGACTCACCATTCTTGACCATATGGGGACGAAGCCTTTATACAGTGCCATGACGCCCTCCTTCCTAACCTGGAAAAAGACAACACGACATGTTCAAGTCACAAAACGCGGCGCTGCCCCGACAAGCAAGGAAGTCAACACTCACCAGTCTCCCCCATATGGGCACGAAGCCTTTGTATAAAGCCAGGAAGCCTTCATGTCTGACCTAAATTTGGGAACAAAACCAGATTTTTTTTTCAAACATTACCAATTTGAACATTTCTTTTAAGCTGGGCAAATCAGTGATTGAGTTTCATGATCAAAGAGCTGATTGGTTGATGTGTGTGATTGAATCATTTAGTCTTGAATGAAATAGTTTTTGCTGAAATCAGTGTAATTTTTTGTACCTTTTCTATGTATGTATCAAATATTGATCAAGCAAACAAGACAGATCACAAGATTTTAGAAAAAGAAATAATTGCATTCATTTTTCATAATTTTTTTAGCTGGTGTGTTATGCCGAAAGCCAGTTTAACCAGCTATACAGATACAGAAGCAATAGGCAACATTATTTAGAGCACCCACATGAGTGTAGTGTGAAGAATGGTAAGTGTTGACAGTAAGGCTGCTTTGGGACTTCAAACATATAGCAGCCATATTATACAGAAAGGCAGCTACAAGAGTGACAGCAATGGCCCAAGGACTATTCCTTGTAGAACACCTGATCTGCTTTAACTGGTTCAGAGGCCTAGCTTACCTTCTATTACTTCTAGATAAGGTCTGAAGCAATCTACAGTCACTTTGTCATTATTGTGATCACATACATTATTGCAGGGTACGTATTTGCTTTACAGTTTGTCAAAAGTACATTTTTCAAGATCCACAATGTGAGTTTCTGAACAGGGTGCCATGTTCACTGTGACATAATTACTTGACAGCAGAAATCTCAAGTTGGAAGTACTGTTTTTTGACTGTGATATGTTAAATAACAGGAGAAATGTGACAGACTGCACTTGGAACAAACATAATTAAATAATACTATCACGATTGTTGAATATAATTAGAAAAAAGTAATTTAGTGTATTCAGATCAGCATGAATACAAATCATGTATTCCTTCCATCCTTCTGTTTTCATGATGCTTGAAAATATTGGTTAACCAAGCAAACAGATTGGCCTTATGTATTCTCTGATGTTGGTAAGTGTACCAAAGCTCACCGTTTTGACCAGGCAGTCTATGGATGACCTATACAACGTTCCCCTGAAACACAACATACAAGGTCATCTACAAATAATGGTTTAATTTCAACACACCAGAATTAAATGGAAAAAATAGCATAGTTTATGATTATCCCTTGCAGAGTGTAATTTTTTTATAAGAAATCCAAAAAATACCCTAGTTTAAATGCATATATTACAAAACTTATCAAATCAAACAGACTGTCAAATCAGTATCAGTATATGTGTGTGTCTGTGCGTGTGTGTGTGTGGATGTGTAACGGTATGTATCCCCTATACCTGCCACTGCTGTCCGTTGGTTGGTTCATTATCCTGGTTTTCACCACATCTGCTGGAGTCCCTAAGGAAGCTGCCACAATCCCTGAACAGGCACTGCAACATATCAACACACCAAATTATTTCCAGCAGTCTTGGTCATTTGATGATAAAAATAATGGCACTACAACATATCAAAACAAAAACTTTATATATTTATGATCATCTACTATCAATATTAACATGATGTAAAGAGAGTAGAGACACTTCCTTCAAAATCTGTTTTATTTCATGTTGATTTTCTATTTCTGTTAAAATTACTCTCAAAGCAGAGGGTTACTGGATTTTAGATTTGGTTCATTTTTATGTATTATTTTATCAGGCTTTCTTTTCTGTAGCAGTATCTTTTTAGTGGCAAATGGCCAGCCAAACAAGTGGCAAATAGATACGAGTACTGCCCTGCAACCACAAAAATATCTGCTTGGAGATTATACTAGAATAGTATAGGTTCTAGGCTATACCCTCTAGCTGGTACTCTTACTTCGAACCTGTTCATTGACAAATGTTTCAAGTATGCTGCTAGCTGTATCCTGTCTTCTCAACTCACTAAGCTCCCCTTATATCCATTAATTCCATACATGTATCATTAATTGCAATCGTTGTCATCAATTCCCTATTACCAAGTGTGATTTATTTAAGTGTTACTTTTTGAGAGAGTGAACATTTGTCGACGTCAAGCTGTGGTAAGATCTAAGGGTAAATCGATGAGGAGTTACAAAAGAGTGATGACTGAGGCTTACGTTGGTTTGGAATGATACTGTTAAAATGAATCTGAGTCAGGTAAAGTTGGTGGTTTTCTACTGAAGCATAGAATATTAACAGCAATATATGGAGCGTAAAGGTTCATTGAACTGCAGGTACTCCTTGAACTACTGTAAATTCCTGATTGAAGTAATGCACTTTTTTTAAACTTTTCAAGATCCAAAAAAGTGTCTCAAGCAGTTGTCTTTAAGCAATTTAAAATGATTGTGTTACAGGCCATAAAATTATTCAAATTGATTCTTAGACTTTCAGTTTCCAATATTACAGGTTTTTATGCATACACTTGTTCAGTAGGTCTGGCAAAAATGGCCTTCGATAAATTTCTAGATGCAAAATCATCCAAAAGAATCATTCAAGCATACCTACGGAGTCTTCCTAACCAAAGCGGAAACAAAATCGACCTTGGAACATGACAGAATCAAAGAACAACCAATGCAAGTTCCGCACCACCTAAATTGGCTTAGTTCAAGTTCATAGCTCTTCCATAAGTCGTGACCTTTCCATGTCCTTGACTATTGTTCAGTCCTACACTGCCTTTGAAGACTACCAGAGGCAATATCAACAGTTATGGAATTTGCTCGAGCAACTTGTAAGCACTGGAGTGTATAAACAGATCTAGACTCTCTTGTTTGGACTTGAAAAATATTACAAGGATTTTGAGTAAGACCCAGAATTAGATCAACCATGAACTTTTCTGGAGAATTGTAGCGAACCATAGAGAGCTTATGGTAGTAGAATAATATAGCATATTGTTGAAGGAAGTCTGGGAACACTAGAACAGTGTCTTCTACGGAATCTGATACATTGATACATGTACCATCCTGAAGATATAAAAGGAGCAACAAACTTGGGAGGGGGTATAAAAAAAAACTATAATTCTAAAAAAAATAAAAATTTTAGAAGGCTAAATATGCATGCATAAAAAAGCATTGATCAGTACTCTAGGAAACCCTCCAAATACCCTCACAACAATCCCACAATGTATTTGTCTATGGCTGAATAAAATGGGCCTGGCATAAGTTAGGTTACCAAAGAAATTTACTGGCAGATCGTCTTGTTAATGTGTTCTTTCATATCCTTGAGAAAATTGTCCACCTTGGGTCATCACCCGGTATATACATTTTTTATGTAACGTCCTCCTCTCGACTCTAGCACTATAAAACCTGAAGTTTTTGAAGTGTTTTTTCAAAAGATAAGCTTGCCATTTTCTCACTGGCAACTCATAAAACTTGAAGATACTGCAAACTCTTTGTATTCACTATGCCAGAAAATTCAAGTACCGTGAACTTAAAGAAATTTATTTTGCTTGTTTCTTGTGTAGTAGTAAAAGGTAATGGACTGTAAGTTATATAATAGTTAGATTCTGATGTAACTTTAGGCCAATGTAAAACAAATACAGTACTACTTTTAATTGTCCACCTTGGCATGCTCATCACCCAGTACATAACATTTTTATGTAACGCCCTCCTTTCAACTTTAGTGCTATAAAACCTGAAGTTTTTTAAGTGTTTTTTTCAAAAGATAAGCTTGCCATTTTCTCACTGGCAACTTATCAAACTTGAAGATACTGCAAACTATCCTTTGCCAGAAAATTCAAGTACCGTGAACTTAAAAATAAATTTATAGTGCTTGTTTCTCGTGTAGTAGTAAAAGGTAATAGACTGTAAGTTGTATAAGAGTTAGAAGTAACTTTAGGCCAAATTTAGACAAAAACTTTAATGGCGCACATACAATATAGACAGACCCAGGGATACAAATGTTATGTTCACTTTACTATGTAATAGTGGTACGGCATAAACTTTAATGACATTCTTTTGCCAACTTTACTCAGCTGCAAGCAATGTGTAAATACTTCATGGTGCATGCACATAACTGTACATGTATATAAAAGAAGACCTATAACTGTGAAAGAATGTACTCTGCCCCAATTTGTATTGCAGAACTGCACTGATACTCAGTGAAGTACCAGAGAAATCTAAAAAAAGTATTGAGGTTTTCTTTTTTAGTGTGTTTGACAAATTTTTTCCATAGTTTCTCGTGTTTCCATTGTTGCCAAATTTATTTCTAAATGCAATAGGCATATTGGGGATTCTGGTAGGAAGTTACATGTAGATAAAAGGTCCTAGAAAAGTTTAGATCATTTCCTGCTATGTTTTAAGAGAGCCAGCGGCAAAATGCTTACACAGAATTAGTGAGAAATCCACAAAAAAAGAACAAAAAACAATATTTCATTATATTTCAATATTCAATACATTAAAATCTATGTTTCGTATGATTAACATTAACAACATGTCATCATTACCTTTTCCATTACCAGTTAGAGTTAGTTTGTGATGATGTAACGTAAGATAGGTCAGTTCTCACCTTGATAGAGAATGCACGATTGGTCCATCAGATAACGAGGTGTGGCCCAGAATAAATCTCTTGGCAGAGTCGTAAGTTGCAAGGTCTGGAACAATTAACAACAAAAAAAAAAATTTCAGAATAAATTCTCTCCAAAGAAAAATATACCAACCATAATTATCAGTACATCATTCAGAACTGAAGTTTATAAATAAATGAGCTCATTAATATACATCCATGTAATAATGGTCCCAATGGGACACATACTACAACACCACCAAATCATCTAAAATTGAGAGTTACCATACTTAAGAAAAACTCTGTAATTGCATGTAAATTTATACAGCCACCATCTTTCAAGTTTTATCTAATCTTCCATGACATACCTATTATGAAAATATGAATCTATCATTTCATCTTGAAATATTACATTCCACAAGAAGACTGGCCTTCAGACATGGACAAATGATGTGTTATGCAGACATTAGGAAGATAACAACACATTCATCAATCACCAAGGGTACAAATGTAAAAAAAAATATCACAAAGCAAAACTTCAGAGATGTTGTTTACTTTTTTGGCAGATAACAGTACATTCATGAATCACAAAAGACAAAAATGTAAAATTTATTGTATCATAAATCAAAAACTTGCCAAATGTTTTTACTTTTTTGGGCAGATAAAATTACATCCATGAATAACAAAAGACAAAAACGTATCACAAGCTTTATCACAAATCAAAGACTTGCAAAATATTATTTTTGTTAAGATATCATCAAACCCATAAATCACAAGACACAAATGTAAGACTTCACCGACTGATTAAATCAAAAACTTTCAAAAGTTTTTTTGGCAGTTGAAGAATGCTAGAGCCGATAACGACGTAAATTTCATGCCAAAACTTAACGAGCAGCCATGTCTTATCTCTTGATTAGTCATTTGTCCCAGGTTACTTCATTATTAGAGCACAGAAATCTCTCTCGAGGGTAAATCTGCTGATTTAGATACATAATTTGGAAAGGTATTTCATCAAGGTAACCCTAATAGACCCTCGGGGATGTGTGCGTTATGCAAGGTGAAACAAAGTCTAGAACTTACGATGCTCCCTGCTGCCTAAGACCGTAACTGATACAAAGTTGGTGCTTAACGCCTACCGTAGCAAGCTGAAGGTTAAGCAAGAGGTGAGGGACATGTGGAAATAATGTTTCAAATAAGATGTATTGGAGAAATAGTTGATGACAGAAGTTTTGAATAATGAGTTGCAAAGGGATTGAAGGATTTGTGTGATGGATGGCAACACAGATTTGGGATTTAAGTTTGGATTTATGTGCTGTAAAGTTTGTCACTAGTAGAGTCTAAAACTTGATGACATCAATTTTATCCAAACTTTTGGTAAGTTAGGTCAGGTGCAACTTTCTAAATTAGTACTAGGCAAGTATACTATACTATAACAGTAGATCCTGTCAATGGGAAGTGTTTCACAGCCAATTTGCCTCTTTCAATGATGATGTACATGTACACAGGAAACACTAAAGGGCTCTAGAACTGATCCCTGAGGTACACTTTATGCAGGCTTTGCTCAAATCTGGGAAGATATGACATGCCATCTTGAGGGCAACAAACCCTTTCAGAAATTCAGAAACAACTACCAAAATCCCTGCTCAAAAAAAGTAAAAAGACAAATGCAAGCCAAATACTATAAGGGTTAGTATGTGTCTGTGTATACATGTATAACAAATTACATGCATATGTGTTTGTCCCTAATTAATCATAACATCAGTTATCACCAATCTCCAGATGGCAAGGGACATAACAGCTCAGATTTCAGCACCATGGACAAAATGCACATGAAGAACATTCATGGAAATTACTGATACATAGTAATCCAAATATGGTATTGTGACTAGTCATTAATCATAACATGAGCCACCACCAATCAACAGATGGCATTAGGCACAACGACTCAGATTTCAGCACCATGGAGAAAAAATGCACATAGGCAGATAGAATGAGACATTCCTGGAAAATACCAATACATAGTACTCAAAATATATTACTATGTGACTAGTCATTGATCACAAGATCAGTCACCACTAATCAACAGATGGCATGAAACACAACAGCTCACATTTCAGCACTATGGAGAGATGCACATATAGAATGATACTTTCCTGGAAAATAGTGATACATAGTACTCCAAATATGGTACTATGTGACTAGTCATTAATCACAAAATCTGACACCCCTAATCAACAGATGGCATGGAACACAACAGCTCACATTTCAGCACTATGGAGAGATGCACATATAGAATGATACTTTCCTGGAAAATACTGATACATAGTGTTCCAAATATGGTACTCTCTAACTAGTGATTAATCACAAATTCAGTCACCACCAGTCAACAGATGGCATTGGGCACAACGACTCAGATTTCAGCACAGTATGGAGATGTCTACATGGAAGAAGTTACTGGAAGATACTGATCTAATATCATTCATAATGACAATATTTCTTAACAATTTGAAATATGTATAGACAAACCACCCTTCAAGTTGGCTTAATACAATTTACGTTTACGTTTGAGACATTTCCTCAAGCCCCCTTTTGTAGTATCAGACTTATGGGACCATAACAGGGAAAATTTGTGAGATGAAATAAAAAAAACGTTACTTCAAAGTAGCTGGTTGACATAAAAGCAAAGGTTGAGAAACAACAAATCTAAAGACACAAATCAAAGTATCTATCTTGAGCACTTTCTTTTGTAGTATTAGACTTTTATTCCATTCTTAAATGCATTTACAATTATCAGGATGAAATAAAACAGAATGAATCACCTTTTAAGTTAGTTCAAAGTAGTTTCCATAAAAGCAAAACTTGAAGAACAAAGGAACAGCAGTACTTTGTGCACAATTCTCTATATTCATCTTCTAAAAACCTCTTTGACAGTAACAATAACTATATTTCTATAGATGATATCTGATAGCCTTAATTGTACTTCAATGGATACGGACCATACACTAACAGTTATTCTTTTGCCATACATGTGTCTTGCTATCTTGTTGTCTGCCCCTGACCTTCTTCCTCATGACCATGAAAAGCAGTCAAGGCCGATTTGAGAATGTCATTCATACACAAGGGCTCAAAAAGTGTTGTAGTGTGATATTTGGATCCCATAAAAAGCTACTCTCTGCACCTGAACACATGAAAGGATAAAAGACTTGTTGGTTGTGATACCATGCTCTGCTCTGTCTGTTTGTTTAATTCTTGTTGCAACATTTAAGGTTTTATTTAGAAAATGTAGGCATCTTGTTTGTTTTATTGCCAGTCTTGTTATCTTTGCACTCTCGAAACAGGTTGGAATTTGCAGAAGATTTCATCCATAAAACTACTTCTAACCTTGGCCTTATAAATGTTTGACATGGCGGCTGGTTGACGTTCAGTGCAGGTGGCAAATCATAGATAAGGAACTCGCTAGTATGCCTTAAAGGCACCCAATGCAGTTATTAGGGCTTCAAAACCATACTTTCAAAGTCAATATTCTAGTAACTTAGGCCACAGCAATTTAATTTGTTGGTTCTCGGATTCGCCTCTTCATTTTTTCCTGATTTGCAAAAAAAAAAAAATTCAGAGTCAACTGCAAAATGCTCATATTTTGCCCTGAACAGTTGAAAACAGTCCTTTTCTTCCTAGTCGTTACAGTTATTCCATCTTTCAATGCAGTGGTATCATTAGAAGTTTTATTTTTTTTCGCCCTGTCGCTTCATATTTTTCCTGAAAAAATCCGAGAACCAACAAATTAAATTGGTGTGGCCTTATCTACAAAGTTGAAACAACACTGCTCCAATGTATATCAACATTCATGGAGCAAAATGTCAAAGATTCTGATGGAAAAGGTTTCTGGTAGGATCCTAGGCTGATTTGGGGGTACAACCCAGAAAATAAAGGACTCATCTGGCTTACACATTGTATCTGTGCTATTATACGAATGTACACAAGTGTGAAATACTGTGTCAATATCATACAGTCTGAGATTACCCTATTCAAAATATTCCAGTTTTGCCACCCTGAAATTGCGTTGGATGCCTTTAAGGGAAAGGTGTGTTTTACAGATATGCAGTAGATAGATTGTAATCTGCTTTTTTGTAAACAGTCTTTATAGTGTAGGGAATACAGGGTTACTACACAATTTATTGAGTCTCTATTTATGTGCTATTTTGTATGGGGAAGCATTCAATGTTGCAAAATATTTCTTGTTTATGAAGCAAAATATAGCTCTTGAAATTAGCTACATGCTCCCATAAAGCACTGGAAATGTAGTTTTGTACGATGAATTTATGTTTGAAAGAATATGAACTAATTGGGCGTACGCTTTGGGTTACATTTGTCTTCTTTGAGCATAAAGGAAAGGGTAAATCTCTTTCTTTTGTTGTTGATTTCCACATCAGAAACAGCTGCTTTTTTTTTATCTTATTATGGTTGATTGTAGTCATATCCACCTGCCACAAGGGAAATTGTTTTATTTTGACAATTCTTTTTAGATTTATGTATAGATCAAAACCAGCTGGTTATTTCTTTTGATGGAAAAGATTGGAGATCTGACATACTTTCCAAGCAGAGGTTTGGGTTTTGGGGGTATTTTTAGCGTGTTTTTAGGCCTTTTTATCGGGGTTTCTCTTTTGCACTGAATTCTTTTCCCCACCAAACCCAACCTCTGCAGGCAGTCGAAAACTTCAATGGGCTATAAGTTAATCATTTCAACACATTACAGTCGTTCTGCAAGGACCAGACACATGAATAGGCACAGTCAGCAAGAGGTGTGTGGCCCAATGAATGCCTTTCCGACTGCCTAGAAGTGTGATAATCCACCACAATAAAATGGATATCCCTAATGACAGTTTGATGGTTCCCGGGGAGGGGCACTATCGCCTGTTTTGAATAGGTTTACCCCTCCCCGAGGTGAGTGCCGGCAGAGGTTGGGTTTGGTGGGAAAAAAAATTCAGTGCAAAAGAGAAACCCCGATAAAAAAGCCTAAAAACACGCAAAAAATACCCCCAAAACCCAAACCTCTGCTTGGAGAGTAGATCTGACAAAGTTCAGCATCAAATATACAAAGCTCTTTGAGCAGTTACTTTGATTCTTCCTTTAGGCGACACCAATTTAACTTATTGGTTTGTTGTTCACCTAAATCATGTAAGGAAATAGGAGTAAGTCGTCTTTTATGGTATGTGAATCAAACTTTTTGTTCCCGGAACCTGCCCGGGCGCCCGTCCATAACTTGGCTTGGAAATGTGACCCTAGTATTTACAGTCTAAAGTTCAGCATTAAAGCAATTCAAATACTCAAAATGAAGGCTGATAGTGCAGTGGAAGTGCACTAAAGCTTGTGGAACTGCTACTACACTACCAAAAATGCCAATCTTGTTTTTCTTCAGAGAAGAAAACTTTTCTTCCACTGAGAAAATTATTCTTCACCCAAGAAAAAAATCTTGTCCATGAGACAAGAATTTCAAGAAACTGCATTTTAGCATATTTTTCTTGTGGTAAGATTTCTTTTCTTATGTATCTTGAACTAAATATCCTTAGAATATTATTCTTGCAGTAAGAATTTCTAAGTTTTTCTAGAAAAACAATTCTGTACACAAGAAAAGATTTCTTGAACTAAGATCTAACTCTTCTTGTAGCAAGAAAAATATTCTCCCCACAAGAAAAGATTTCTTGAACTAAGAGCTAACTGTTCTTGTAGCAAGAAAACCATTCTGCCCACAAGAAGAGATTTCTTGAAATAAGAGCTGACTCTGTTCTTGTAGCAAGAAAACCATTCTGCCCACAAGAAAAGAAATACAATGTATATAGTGCTACCTAAATATAAAACAGACAATAATGTATA